TAGATTTTTTATCAGATAATAAACTTTCAAAAATATTTTAAAACTTTTTGAAAATTGTCATTACTGTCAAATATCTATCTAATGGTGACCAATTGTAATTTAGTTATTATCGGATCATGCAAATATTAATAATTTGGTATCTAATTAGTTTTTATGAACAAAAATGTCCTTCAACCAACAATATCTTGGTTGAAGCTAGCAGATAGGAGGCAAGAAAGTAATAAAATAGGTTAGCTTCTCTGTGTGACATTACTTGTATGCTTCAGAGATGAAGCTATTTTATTACGAAGGCAAAATATGAATATATTAAGAAGTTTAAAATCATTAATTTACATTTTAAAACAATATTTTACAAAACTTACAGTAGTTGTTATTCCCATAATCAACCCAAACATATCAAATTTTTGCCAGTTATCTAGGCTGTCCCAATTTTTAAGTGCCATATTCTTATCCATTATTGCTTATTGTCACTCTTTATTATATCTTTAATCTGTGTCAAGCTGTAGGTCCACCATGTTTTTTAAGTTTTTAATGTTGCGTACTTAAATGGTACTTTCCCATTAACCAATGTATTGATTTGAAATATAATATAGCAGTAAACAAATGTCATTTCTTAAAATAGATTTAGATTTAAATTTTCACAGTTTAAAAAAAAACAAGAGTTATCTCCCTCTAACTTATGCTAGATTTTAAAAAAATATTGTGTTATGATGGGACTAAACCATGAAGAAATAGACAAGATCTCCTTTCTTATAAGAATTTGTAAAATCAATATTTTCAAATACATTTAAAGTTGTTGATCCTTATTGTAGTACTTGAATATGGTTATTTGCAATATCAAAGAGATCTTTGAAGTTTCACTAATTCACTGTGGACAAGTGAAATGTTTTGTTTGTAAATGACTTGCATGCAAATTTCACACAAAGATGATGTCCCTCCAAAGTTTTCTAGTGTCAAACTATCTCATCCAGCCACAACCTGCCCATTTTTTTCAAGTAAAATCAAAATTTAGGGAGGTGTTGTGTTTTTGTTAATCTTATTTTTAAGTATATTGTTTTGTGAACTTAACTTTTAGTCTTTCTGGTCGGTAGTTGTATTGTATTCCCTTTTTCCTTTAATTTTTTTTATTGTTTCCTGTTATCTTCTTACTTTTTTCATCACTCAAGCCGAAAGAGAAATTATTGATGAAATAGATTTTCAGTCTTTTCAAGTATAATTCCACTTTTTTTTTAATTATGAGATTATCAAGCTTTTATACTTTTAACCTAGAAACTTTCATTCCTGTTCTGATAGCGCTTTTCTTTTTTGTGTTATCTTTTTTAATGACAAAACATGCTGAAAATGAAAATCATGTTATAAAAGGACTACAAAAAGCTCAAAACTTACCTTGAATAGATTTGAATAAAAATTTCTAGGCATAATTATAATGCAAAATAGGCCTAAAATTTCTGTATCAGACTTTATTCCTGAATAATATATCAAATTTATGTACCTCTGCAAAAAAACACATTTTTTTTTCTAAGCATTTCCTTTTTACTGTTTGAATTAAAATTTTAAAAAACTGTTTAGAGTCTGGTGGATAGTTTGTAATCATAACAAATCTCCTTATTTTTAAAAATAGTATTAAACTGATCAGTAAAAGAATTCTAATATAATGTATATTTGCAGCTTCAATAGACTGAATATTCAGTTCAGTAAAAATCTCATTAGACAGGTTCCAACAACCTGTTTACTGGTTCTGACCCTAAGACTGACAGTTTCACAAGCTATGATAGCTGGATAACTGCTGTAGAAGATCACTGAAGGTGCAGAACAAGATACTTGTCCAGATCACCTCAGCTCATCATCACAAAGAATGGCGATACACTTTGTCATTTATTTTTGAAACAGGGGTGATTTTTGTTTTAACTAAAAGCAACAAACTTTATATCAAAAGCAAATAATTTGCAAAAAGTATAAGCTTTCTGCTTTTTTTTTTTACTGATATTTACAAAATTCAAAAAGTTTGTTTTAAAGGAAAGTACATCAAATAATTCTATTTCACAATAGAATAATCTGCAGTGAATGGAAATCCAAAGATGTAGGTAGGTCATCCTTTTCTTTTTAATTAAATAAAAAAAAAAACTCAAATTCTATACTCCTTTTTATAAACAACAGAATCCTCAAGTTCATTGCTGTATTCCATTTATTGGGGTAATAACTTGGGGAAGGAAGAAATTGGCCCACATAATTTCAATTCACAGATAAACATTTTTATCAGATTCAAAATAAAAATTTATCATATTAAGAGGTTGAGGGCTATTTAATTATTTGGAAAAACCTGGTCACAATGATCTTATTCTTTTATGCATATACTGTTAAACTAAAAGTAATTATATTCATTATGCATGGATTTTTATGTATATAAAATGCTTTGGTTTCAGAGATATGAGCCAAAATCTACATTTTACCCCTATGTTTTATTTTTAGCCATGGCGGCCATCTTGGTTGGTTGGCCAGGTCACGGGACACATTTTTTAAACTAGATACCCTAATGATGATTGTGGACAAGTTTGGTTAAATTTGTCTTAGTATTTTCAGAGGAGAAGATTTTTGTAAAAAATTACAAAAATTTACGAAAAATGGTTAAAAATTGACTATAAAGGACAATAACTCCTTAAGGGGTCAACTGACCATTTTGGTCTAGTTGACTTATTTGTAGATCTTACTTTGCTGAACATTATTGCTGTTTACAGTTTATCTCTATCTATAATAATATTCAAGATAATAACCAAAAACGGCAAAATTTCCTTAAAATTACCAATTCAGGGGCAGCAACCCAACAACGGGTTGCCTGATTGGTCTGAAAATTTAAGGGCAGATAGATCTTGACCTAATGAACAATTATATCCTGTCAGATTTGCTCTAAATGCTTTGGTTTCAGAGATATGAGCCAAAAACTGCATTTTACCCTATGTACTATTTTTTAGCCATGTCGGCCATCTTGGTTCGCGGGCAGGGTCATCGGACACATTTTTTAAACTAGATACCCTAATGATGATTGTGGACAAGTTTGGTTAAATTTGTCTTAGTAGTTTCAGAGGAGAAGATTTTTGTAAAAAATTACAAAAATTTACGAAAAATGGTTTAAAATTGACTATAAAGGGCAATAACTCCTTAAGGGGTCAACTGACCATTTTGGTCAAGTTGACTTATTTGTAGATCTTACTTTGCTGAACATTATTGCTGTTTACAGTTTATCTCTATCTATAATAATATTTAAGATGATAACCAAAAACGGCAAAATTTCCTTAAAATTACCAATTCAGGGGCAGCAACCCAACAACGGGTTGCCTGATTGGTCTGAAAATTTAAGGGCAGATAGATCTTGACCTATTGAACAATTTTGTCCTCATCAGATTTCCTCTAAATGCTTTGGTTTCAGAGATATGAGCCAAAAACTGCATTTTACCCTATGTACTATTTTTTAGCCATGTCGGCCATCTTGGTTCGAGGGCAGGATCATCGAACACATTTTTTAAACTAGATACCCTAATGATGATTGTGGACAAGTTTGGTTAAATTTGTCTTAGTAGTTTCAGAGAAGATTTTTGTAAAAGATTACAAAAATTTACGAAAAATGGTTTGAAATTGACTATAAAGGGCAATAACTCCTTAAGGGGTCAACTGACCATTTTGGTCAAGTTGACTTATTTGTAGATCTTACTTTGCTGAACATAATTGCTGTTTACAGTTTATCTCTATCTATAATAATATTCAAGATAATAACCAAAAACGGCAAAATTTCCTTAAAATTACCAATTCAGGGGCAGCAACCCAACAACGGGTTGTCCGATTCATCTGAAAATTTCAGGGCAGATAGATCTTGACCTGATAAACAATTTTACCCCTGTCAGATTTGCTCTAAATGCTTTGGTTTCAGAGATATGAGCCAAAATCTACATTTTACCCCTATGTTTTATTTTTAGCCATGGCAGCCATCTTGGTTGGTTGGCCGGGTCACCGGACACATTTTTTAAACTAGATACCCCAATGATGATTGTGGCCAAGTTTGGTCAAATTTGGCCCAGTAGTTTCAGAGGAGAAGATTTTTGTAAAAGTTTACGGACGACGGACGTAGGATGACGGACGACGGACGCCAAGTGATGAGAAAAGCTCACTTGACCTTTCAGGTCAGGTGAGCTAAAAATGGATAAAAACCATCTTTCTTTATTCTTTATTTCTTTTACTTATTTTCTCAATTTTTTCATATCTTTTGCCCTTTATTCTGCATGTTTCTGCATGTTTTGCCCATTATTCTCTATTCTGTAAACCCATCCAGATGCTCACAGAGGCGGATTTAGGGAAGAGGGGCTAGAGTGCTAGGGCCCAACCTTTTGGAGCTACATTTTTGGTCAATGGACCGAGACTTTTTACCTGTTCCACTCCAAACGTTGTCTAGTTTGCTTTTTCTTCAGAGTGCAATAATTCATACTGAAATATCTCAAAAATTAAAAAATCCTCAAACATTTTAGAATTTTTTATCTAAAAGTTGTGGCCATGTAAACATTTCAGAACATAACTATATGATCCTGTATAGTATTTCATTAAAAGGACATCAAGAATAAGGAACAAACAGTGCAATTGGTTAGAGAAATGTAGATTTTTTATCAGATAATAAACTTTCAAAAATATTTTAAAACTTTTTGAAAATTGTCATTACTGTCAAATATCTATCTAATGGTGACCAATTGTAATTTAGTTATTATCGGATCATGCAAATATTAATAATTTGGTATCTAATTAGTTTTTATGAACAAAAATGTCCTTCAACCAACAATATCTTGGTTGAAGCTAGCAGATAGGAGGCAAGAAAGTAATAAAATAGGTTAGCTTCTCTGTGTGACATTACTTGTATGCTTCAGAGATGAAGCTATTTTATTACGAAGGCAAAATATGAATATATTAAGAAGTTTAAAATCATTAATTTACATTTTAAAACAATATTTTACAAAACTTACAGTAGTTGTTATTCCCATAATCAACCCAAACATATCAAATTTTTGCCAGTTATCTAGGCTGTCCCAATTTTTAAGTGCCATATTCTTATCCATTATTGCTTATTGTCACTCTTTATTATATCTTTAATCTGTGTCAAGCTGTAGGTCCACCATGTTTTTTAAGTTTTTAATGTTGCGTACTTAAATGGTACTTTCCCATTAACCAATGTATTGATTTGAAATATAATATAGCAGTAAACAAATGTCATTTCTTAAAATAGATTTAGATTTAAATTTTCACAGTTTAAAAAAAAACAAGAGTTATCTCCCTCTAACTTATGCTAGATTTTAAAAAAATATTGTGTTATGATGGGACTAAACCATGAAGAAATAGACAAGATCTCCTTTCTTATAAGAATTTGTAAAATCAATATTTTCAAATACATTTAAAGTTGTTGATCCTTATTGTAGTACTTGAATATGGTTATTTGCAATATCAAAGAGATCTTTGAAGTTTCACTAATTCACTGTGGACAAGTGAAATGTTTTGTTTGTAAATGACTTGCATGCAAATTTCACACAAAGATGATGTCCCTCCAAAGTTTTCTAGTGTCAAACTATCTCATCCAGCCACAACCTGCCCATTTTTTTCAAGTAAAATCAAAATTTAGGGAGGTGTTGTGTTTTTGTTAATCTTATTTTTAAGTATATTGTTTTGTGAACTTAACTTTTAGTCTTTCTGGTCGGTAGTTGTATTGTATTCCCTTTTTCCTTTAATTTTTTTTATTGTTTCCTGTTATCTTCTTACTTTTTTCATCACTCAAGCCGAAAGAGAAATTATTGATGAAATAGATTTTCAGTCTTTTCAAGTATAATTCCACTTTTTTTTTAATTATGAGATTATCAAGCTTTTATACTTTTAACCTAGAAACTTTCATTCCTGTTCTGATAGCGCTTTTCTTTTTTGTGTTATCTTTTTTAATGACAAAACATGCTGAAAATGAAAATCATGTTATAAAAGGACTACAAAAAGCTCAAAACTTACCTTGAATAGATTTGAATAAAAATTTCTAGGCATAATTATAATGCAAAATAGGCCTAAAATTTCTGTATCAGACTTTATTCCTGAATAATATATCAAATTTATGTACCTCTGCAAAAAAACACATTTTTTTTTCTAAGCATTTCCTTTTTACTGTTTGAATTAAAATTTTAAAAAACTGTTTAGAGTCTGGTGGATAGTTTGTAATCATAACAAATCTCCTTATTTTTAAAAATAGTATTAAACTGATCAGTAAAAGAATTCTAATATAATGTATATTTGCAGCTTCAATAGACTGAATATTCAGTTCAGTAAAAATCTCATTAGACAGGTTCCAACAACCTGTTTACTGGTTCTGACCCTAAGACTGACAGTTTCACAAGCTATGATAGCTGGATAACTGCTGTAGAAGATCACTGAAGGTGCAGAACAAGATACTTGTCCAGATCACCTCAGCTCATCATCACAAAGAATGGCGATACACTTTGTCATTTATTTTTGAAACAGGGGTGATTTTTGTTTTAACTAAAAGCAACAAACTTTATATCAAAAGCAAATAATTTGCAAAAAGTATAAGCTTTCTGCTTTTTTTTTTACTGATATTTACAAAATTCAAAAAGTTTGTTTTAAAGGAAAGTACATCAAATAATTCTATTTCACAATAGAATAATCTGCAGTGAATGGAAATCCAAATATGTAGGTAGGTCATCCTTTTGTTTTTAATTAAATTAAAAAAAAATCTCAAATTCTATACTCCTTTTTATAAACAACAGAATCCTCAAGTTCATTGCTGTATTCCATTTATTGGGGTAATAACTTGGGGGATGGAAAAAATTGGCCCACATAATTTCAATTCACAGATGAACATTTTCATCAGATTCAAAATAAAAATTTATCATATTAAGAGGTTGAGGGCTATTTAATTATTTGGAAAAACCTGTTGAACTAAAAGTAATTATAATCATTATGCATGGATTTTTATGAAATAACATGTACACTACCAATTTTAGTTTTGTAATGAAACAGCATATCTATTGCAATTTTTCCACAGCTAAGTTTCCAAGACCTACTTTCAAACAAAATTATTTACAATACTGTACATAGAAATAGTTATTAAAGTGTATTTATTGTTCCATGAATTTTTCTATTGTACGCTTCTTGTTTAACATCAGCACACGATTTTTGTCTTACATGTATGCAAATATACAGGTTTTTACAACTTTTTTTTTTAGTTGAAACTGTAAACCAACTTATTTTCATGGATACTTTATTTTGCTTTTAGCCATTTCTAGCCCACTTGCAAAAATTTAAATTCAAGATTTTCAAAATTTCTTGATGTAGTTAAATAAGGAAAGATCCAAGCTTTACATATTCTAGTTGCTGAAAGTCACAAAAATAAATCGCTCGCCAAAATTTGTTGGTTTATAGTAATTGAATCATTGTAAGATTAATATTATATATCTAGATGAGGGTGTGGATGGAGGTTTACAGAATAGAGAATAATGTGGAAAAAATATAAAGAATAGAGAAAAATTGACCAAAAAAATAAAGAATAGAGAATAATGAGGTGCTAAAATATGAATAATAGAGAATAATGGGCAAAAAGTATAAAGAATAGAGAAAAATAGCCTTAAAAAATTAAAGAATACAGAGGTGAAGGACCCCCCAATCCAGACCCTCCTAGATGTATGCAAATATTTTTTATTCTTACTTCATAATATTAAAGTGATTGAAATGTATTGGTCATAAGATTTCAATTTGCAATTAATAAAAAAATTTTGTCAACAATATCTATTGGTAGTGTAAATTGCAAGGTATATCAGGAAAAAATAAAAATCAATAGAAATATTAACAAAAATATAGGGATATTTGTGACAAGAGGCTGTCGAGTGACAGCAAACCAGATTTTCCTGCAGAGGTCGAACCCTGAACAGTTGAGCAAGTATGGACACAACATTTAAGCTTAAAACAGCTCTGAATCTGGATTGTGATTGAATATTTATGATAGATTATTATCTAATTAATAATGAAAATGATATTTGCAAACCTGAACCCCAAACAGGATCATGTAAAAATTAAACATTAACACACACAACAAAAATAAAATACTACATAACAACTGTGACATCTACCTTCATAACACACATAACTTAAAAAAAATAGTTATAAAGAAATTTTGATGTTATCATGTGTTCATGGAATAAGTTTGAGCTATTTCCCTTTGAACATAAATATGGTTTAACATAATACTCTAACATTAGATATGATTAATATTTCTCTCAAATTAGATATGATGTAACACATTGTATATCTATTTTCAAATTATATTCAAATATAATTAATAGTTCCAAATATTTTTTCTTTCATTTGTCACAAACTAATACAGATCTGCAACTTATCTATGATCAATGTCAACAACTTTAAATGTAATGAAATATATCCTATAATAAAAATAGATTATTATCTAATTAAAGGAGTTCACTTCATAAAAAAAAAATATATATATATAGCATTCAGAAAATCAGTTTATACAGAATAATAAACAAACCTACCACAAAATTCTTCAAACAATTTACCAAAGAAAAGAAAAAAAAATCCAAAATGTCATTTATCATTAATACAATGTCTTTTAAAAATCTTTTAAAAAATGAGTTATTTCCCTTTGTACAGAAATGGATTAATTCATCAAAAATTGAATTCTTGGGAAAGGGCTATAACTGAACAATGAGAAAAGCTAAAATCGTGAAAATTGAACTTGACCTTCATTTAGTCACAGGAAACAACATATCTCAATTAAAAAAAATCCTTCAAAGCGTTTTCATGTAAATGAACGGACATTGTTTGGCAGCCGCCCGCCCGCCCGCTCGCCCGCCCGCCGTACATCCCCAAATCAATAACTGATTTTTACTTCGAAAATTAGGTTAATAAAACTGTTTTGGTAAATACCTGAAAAAGAAAACCAGTTGCTTTGTGAAAGGGGCGATGTAAAAAAATCAGTTCATATTTCAATAAAAGTAGAGCATTAGGAATATCTTTCTTTTCTTTCTTTTTTTTTTGATGAAATTATAGTAAAACAGGAAGTTGCAAATGATGTTGAATTACTCTCATCTTCCACCCTCAGTTGGTCAGCAAAGAGACAGTAACTGCCTGACTGAACAACTTATCTTCAAACTACCAGACCAAATATCCAAACATTCCTTGTAGTGTCCTATAGTTGTTTATAACATACTTGTTCTTTAGTCTCTGGTAGAGAGTGGTCTTATTGGCAATTATACCACATCTCCTTATCTTTAAATTCTTTCAAAATACAGAAGTTGAGAAAAAAATTTTTGATAATGATTTGCATGCTTAAGGAGAAAGATGAAACATCTGAAAATGGAAAACTGATGTTTTGACACAAATCATGACTCAACAAATCACAATGGGAGACAAAAAGTATATTGGAAATGTTATTCTTTGATGGCTGTGAAATTTTGATTAAGAATAACTTGGCATATAAAACAAGAGATATTTTTAAAAAGACTAATTGTAAATACTCCATATCTATTGATTTTATAATTTTTATTTTCAAATGTAAATGTTACTGAAAACAATACCGAAGTAAATCATGGATTAAATAACTGTCATATTATATAACAATAGAAAAATATAATTATAGAATAACTAATCGAAGAATTCAAATAGAGAAAAATATTCAACGAGTGATCGATCAACACATTAATTCACGAATGCGCGTAGCGCATGAGTTAATTATCAGTGTTGTTCGGTCACGAGTTGAATATTTTTCGATATTTGAATTCTTTGATTAGTTATTCTTTTTATTACATTGGCAAATGGCTTTTTTTAATGAAATTAATGTAGAAAATGTAAGGAACTATATGTTTTTTCTACGCATTCACAATATGTTTTGATCCGACGTTATCGACGTCTTGACAACGCCTATTGTTGTATGACGTCAGAGAGTGAAATAACCACATTTATTTCACATGTGAAATTATCGGTTTTTATTTAACTGGGAAATCAATGTAATTCATTGCTACCAATGTAATAAAAGTTTTTATTGTATGTTAACTTATCCCTTCACAGAAGGGAAAAAAAAGGGGAAAGTCTCAAATGTCCGGGTTACAATATTTGTGACTAATTAATGTAGAATGTTTATAACGAAGTTGCAGTTGCATGAAGGTTTTAAATTTGGCTGAAAAATAACTACGTTCCCACGTTCATACAAATCTGAACAAATTCTTCAAACAATTCCATAATAGCAGGTTCATAACTTCAACATGTGCATAATCTTTCTGTGAAGTCTTAGGGATTTTGGTTGAAAACTTGAGAAGTTAAAAACTTTTATCCTCTTTCATAAATTTTGCTGAAAAATAAATTAGTTCCCAAGTCCAAAAAAATGTTAAAAATTCCTCAATCAATTCCATAATAGCAAGGGCACAACTTACACATATGTGCAATCTTCCTGTGAAGTTTCAGGGATCTAGGTTGAAAACTGTACAAGAAGTTGATGACACAAATCTTGTACCCTTGATCATAAATTTTGCTGACATATGATATGACTAAGTTCCAAAGTCTGGATAAAATAAGAAAAAAATTCCTCAAACAATTCCATAATAGCAAGTGCACATCTTCAATCTTCCTGTGAAGTTTTAGGGATCTGGGTTGAAAACTGTAGGAGAAATTGATTACACAAATTAGGTACCCACTTCCCTATTCCACCCACATGCCCTCCTGCCTGACATAACCATATTATAAAAAGATGGTTTGGGACAAAAAAAAACCAAAAGTGTTGAAGCTGTTAGAAGCACAATTTTTACCTCAGTAAAATACAATATAAACATAATGGTATAAATAAATAAAATGTCCATTTTATTATAAACTGATCTTTATGTAATTCTTACATGATTTTCATGTGTAATATGGACAAATAAGCAGTGATAATGGTTGCAAATGTTTCAGGTACTGATTTTTGAGTCAGGTTACCAAGACTGTATTTACTACATTACTTCCACAACAATTGTAAACAACATGGAAGCTTTTAAAATGCACATTTTAAAAACAAAAGATGTAAAATTAGTTACAACTGAGTCGTTAAAAACCCAAATTAAAACAAAGAAAAAAGAATTATAAGGATTGAGTACATTAGACTTGTATTCCTTTGTAAATAAATTTGTTCAATCTAGTCAATAAATTCTGCAAAAATGCTATAATCTAGTTAAAGTCTATAATATCCTCACAATGATGTTTATAGCTTAGAGTTTACATTCTTCAATCTTAATAATTGATTCTAATATTACAATATAACAAGTCAGGAAAGTCAGAGAAGTATTCATTTCTTAGACAAAATCATATACTGTAAATTCAGAAATTATTGCATGCATTTATTATTGTGATTTTGTCATTTTAGACCAAAATGCGATTATTATTTTTACGATACTGAGAAAAATCCCCCTTCATTCATACAAAAAAATCCAAAATGCAAGCTTAATTTATTGTGATTACAACCCAGTCACATTTTTCACAATAATAAAAACCACGCAATTATTTCCGAATTTACAGTATACTGTTATATTAGTCAAATTAATTGAAAAGGATATACAATGTATTATTGAACAAACATTAATCTCTTTTTTTTTTGTTCAATAGAAAAAAGTATTACACTTTCAGATGATGAGTGTAACTTTGAAACGTAATGTAATGATTAATGATGAATCTGGAACTCAATGCAGATAAAACTTGTCTATTATATATCACAGATGATGGTCTTTTATAATGCGTTTTTATTCAGGTTCTGATGGGTGTCTAGCTAATGCTTCTGGGAGAAATGAGCCTGCCGGTCCATGGAAATGATATCTGAAAAGTAAAACATTATATATATATTTATATATATATATATTTAGACGTTCAAACCTATGATTGCGCTGGATAAAAACCGCAATTTTTATACATGTGCATGCAAAACAAATTTCTTTGTAGAGGGTCTAAATACAGCACAAATATATATATATATATATATATAGCACAAACAACTATTTCCAAAAGACCAAAAAAGGTGAAAAAGTCTATTTTAACAAAACGCATTTGACTAACAGGTCGAACAACTGATGTTCTTAAACCCTGCTGTCTGCCATTGGCGATTGCCAACTAAATTGATCACCAGATCTTACGAAGTGGATCTTTAATATTAATTTAATACCAAAAAGAAAACAATAAACTTGTGGAAAAGTATCCGGATTTCGACAATTAATGTCTCTTCAGTGATGTTAGGGATCGAAACGGTATTTGGAAGGCCATAAAATTTACCTCAATTTAGGATAGACTCTTGAATTTTAAAGAGTCGAAATAGGATGAACGGATCATATAAACCCGAAGGAAAATATAATACAAGCCCAAACGAAAAAATATATAAAAGTCTAAATTGAAAATAACGTTCAAACCTATGATTGCGTTGGATAAAAACCGCAATTTTTATACGTGTGCATGTAAAACAAATTTCTTGGTAGAGGGGTCTAAATACAGAACAAAAAAGGCCAAAAAAGGTGAAAAAGTCTATTTTAACAAATGCATTTGACTAACAGGTCGAACAACACAAGTTTATTGTGCTTGTCGTTGAAAATAAAGTTGTTATTTTCAAGCACTAGCTTGAGCAATTGAACTAGACAGTCAGTTTGTGGATGTTTATCCTTTCGAGTGTTCCATACTTTTTCACACGCGGTTAAGTAGTTCAAGCTAACAATAAGCGGCAAAAATATTTTTCTAGACAATTTACAAACATATATTTTTTATAGAACATCAATAAATTTTGTTAAACTTTTACTCACATTTTGTGTAGTTCAACCTCAAAAATATTTTTTTGTCATGCATCCGATTTCACCTTGAGAGATGCACACGCCTGATGAAGCTAATTTGTTTAGCCAAATATTGTGTGAATAATATAAAATATAACAACTAATTTTATAACACTCATTAGTGTGTTAAAGTTACATTCTTAGGCACTTATATAATTTAATGTAGTAACTGCATCAGTTTATTTACAAACTGATCCATGCCTAAATAGATTGAATGTTGATTGTTGCTAAATTTAGACACTATATATATATATATCTATAAGTCTAGAGATTTGCACAATGATATTAATATAAAATAGTATTATACGAAGATGTTCGCATGAGCTATTTTTATACATATAATCAGTATTGTTAAAATTATTGACACTGAAGAAGGCTATTTGTTAAGCTGAAATATTTGTCAACACGATTTAATAACAACATCTTCGTATAATACCATCATATATTAGTACCGTTGTGCAAATCTCTAGACTTATATAATTTTTTCCTTATCTGCACAGTATCGTCTATTCTAGACGATTCGGTACACAGTAAATTTGCTGGTTGTACCTTTTTATAGACTTCTATATATATATATATTATATATATATATATATATATATAGTCCAGTCAATCTAGCACAAATATAGCTGTGGAACATTAGTTCTTATGGACTTAAAAGATGAAATAATAACAACAGTATTACAACAATTACCATAAGAGTAGCACACATATAGCAAAACCGCAAAGTAATTGCAACATAAATTAATTTGTCATTATTTAATTCAGTCATCCTATTTGTCCAAGATCATGAAGTTATATAAAATCAGCACATCTCTAAACATGGGCTATTTGATAATTTTGAAGGTAAATTAAATCTTGCTCATTTTTTATTCAATTATGATAAACAAGAAAATTGTCATATTTTTAACTTATTACCCAGAAAATTAGTAAATTTATAATTTTCTATATAACTTTTAAAACATATCTGCATTTAAATCTGAAAAATTGGGTTATTGTTAACTTTTTATACATTGTGACTTGGATGGACAGTTGTCTCATTGGCACTCATACCACATCTTCTTATTGTCCCCCGCGAATGTGTTGCAGGGAACATAGAAATACTAGGTGTCCGAGTGTCCCTCTGTCTGTGCATCCGTCCATCCGGTCTTGTTAGCGCTCTCACATGTACAGTTCTTGCCAAATTTTTATGAAACTTATATCATAGGTTTTTATCAGTAATGTCTTGGACCAGTCTGATAATCAGTGCCAATCAATAATTTTTTTATATAATATCAATTTTTGAAGCCTTTGATATTTTGGGGTAAAAGTATGATTTATTAATTTATAATAACAAGAAAACTTATAAACTGTGACAGTAACATTTTGATAAACTCCATAGAAAATTTGTAAATTTATCCTCTCCAAATATACTATTGCCAAATTCAAAAAGCTTCTCTTTTGATTATTTTTTTAATATTGTTACATCATTAGTAGTGGAAGACAAATATTAAACTGCATAAAAATGTTTAAATACTATAGAGTAGAAAGGTAAATTTTACAACCTCTATTGATTGAAAGGTCAGAGGTTAAAACAATCTAATTAAAATTTGCTCCTCATTTTCATTCAGTTGTTTATATGTCGTGTGTGGGAGATCTAACTACAGCCACTTGAGGGTCATGTCTAGGGTCAAATTTGCCGTAGCCAATCAGCAAGGCTGCTTCAAAATGTTAGGTTATTGGACTGGCATAGGAGTCATGCTAGTGTCTAGAGTATTTCCCACACGCAACATATAAACAACCTAACGAAAAATGAGGAGCAAGTGCGGAGAACTAATTCTAATTAGTTAACAATAAATTCTTACCCTAATGAATTTGTAACACCGGTTTTTTCTGGATTAAACTCAGCTACTGGTACTCCTCGGGCAGCTACTGAGGGTGCAAACATTGCTGCTGGGTACACAACAGAAGAGGTTCCAACCTTTAACAATAAAATGTTCAAACCATAAAATCTGAGGGAAAACATTAAATATGTCTTTAAAGATATTGTCCCTATTTCTTCCAAATTTTACAATATAGATGCTTTCATATACTAGATATTGAAAAAATGTTTGCAATAATACTGATTCCCGGTATGTAATTTATATATTCATTCTACCATTAAAAAGGATTAAAGAAAAAGGTGTATCTAAATACATTGAACATAAGTGTTGACTAGTACACATAATGCTACTGGGTAGGTATGTAATAGTGGTTTGATTCTGCCAGTGTAGTTTATCCGGAGGAAGAAAATCCCCAGTGATTTATATCCACCAACGAAAATTCACTAGGTTTTTCTATCCGGGTCCAGTGTAAAACATCCACCCGTCATTATAAGGTTCTAAAAAGATATATAAAATGTGGCTTTATAGTTTTTAGTGTATTTAAAATTTGCATAGTTAATTTATGTAAAAAGTGGAGAGTTTTCATCCAAGGAATGTTCACACTAGTGTTTTTAAACAAGGAATGATTACACTAGTGATTTTGTACCGGAATGATTGCACTAGTTATTTTATACCGGGATTAGTTACACAAGTGCTTTAGATCCATACATTAATTGTGAAGTGATTAGTACTCATTTGAACACACGATAACGCAATAATGGTTATCAACGAATAATTTCTATGCAAATCTATAAAATCATATCTTCTAAGTCAATATCAAAGGATGCTTCTATAATTGAAACTTTATGTAAGAACAAATCTGCTCTTTAAATTTGGTTTATATCAAGTTCAATGTCCTGATCATTGATACAGTATTTTGAGTTATAAAAACATCCTCATCATCATCATCATCATCAATATTATTTACTAGATTGGCTCAGATTAATCGTTTTAATTTTAACCCATTTATTTATGTAAACAATAAACCGGTCTTATATAAACAAAACAACGATATCAAGATCGACGCTTTCACACTGTTTACATCCAATATTCTCTAGTGAAAAACAGTTACCCGGAATAAATACACGGCGGAATGAAAGTACGCTTACGGCAATAATAAGAACTCGCATTCTGATATCTGCTACATATATCTGTATGCAGATTTGACTGAAATCGCAATAATTAATCTTTAGATCATTTTAGATCATTCTTCAAAAATCGCAATAATAAATGCATGCAATAATTTCTGAATTTACAGTACTTTTGTACTGAAGAAAATATAAAAACCATTCTTACCACTAGACAGAGATCACATTGGTCTAGCTCATTCTCAGCTGAATCCAATACTGCTGGGTCTAAACCTTCACCAAACCATACAACATGGGGCCTCAAAAGTCCTCCACAACCGGCCTTTTTACACCTGTATATTTTTTAAATTAATAATAATGGTTTAAGGTAGGCTGACACTGTAAATCTAAACAACAATCTGAGCATCTAAAGAATAAACTGATAAGGCTGTCATAATGTGAAAACAAAAAGAATGAAATCTTAATTTCTTAAAAATACATGTACTTAAAAAGGTTTTTTCAAGGAATAGAGACAAATTGATTTATCCTGAATTCTTCTTCGTATGCAAGTGTGTCATAGGCAGAACTATTGTTATCATTTGACTGGCTACTTTTACTTGACATGTCTTTGTATCAGCATAAAATAAATGGGGAATGTGTCCAAGGGACACAGATGATGCCCCTGCTTGCATACAAAGTTATAAAGGGACATAACTCAAGAATGGTAAAAGTGACGCTACCCAAATTCTTACTTGATCTGAGTTTTGTAGAAATAAGCATTGTGTATACGTTTCATAACATTTGGTTGATGCAAACTTAAGTTAGAGAATGGGAATGAAAAATTCAGCAATTTTTCCATTTGTAAAAGGGCATAACTCTAGAACAGTAAAAGCGACACCACCAAAATTCAAACTTGATCTGTGTATTGTGGTAATAAGCATTGTGTATAAGATTTATAACATTTGGTTGATGCAAACTTAAGTATGAGAATGGGAATGAAAAATTCAGCAATTTTTTCCATTTGTAAAAGGGCATAACTCTAGAACAGTAAAAGTGACACCACCAAAATTCAAACTTGATCTGTGTATTGTGGTAATAAGCATTGTGTATAAGATTTATAATGTTTAGTTGAGGCAAACTAAAGTTAGAGAATGGAAAAGAAAAATTCAGCAATTTTTCCATTTGTAAAAGGGCATAAATCTAGAATGGTAAAAGTGACGCAATCAAAATTCAAACTTGATCTGTGTTTTGACGTAATAAGCAAAGTGTATAAGTGTCATAACATTTAGTTGAGGCAAAATTAAGTTAGAGAACGGAAACAAAAAATTCAGCAATTTTTCCATTTGTAAAGGGAATTAACTCTAGAATGGGTAAAAGTGATGCCACCAAAATTCAAACTTGATCTGTGTTTTGTGGTAATAAGCATTGTGTATAAGTTTCATATCATTTGGTTGATGCAAACTTGAGTTAGAGAATGGAAACGTAAAATTCAGCAATTTTTCCATTTGTAAAGGAGCATAACTCTAAAACAGTATAAGTTAAGCCACCAAAATTCAAACTTGATCTGTGTTTTGTAGTAATAAGCATTGTGTTTAAGTTTCATAACATTTGGTTGAGGCAAACTAAAGTTAGAGAACGGAAACCAATTTTGGGACATAAGAACGTATGGACGGATGTGCGGACGTACAGACATAGACGGACAAGGGTACAACTTAATGCCCCCTCTGCTATGGTGGGTGCGTGAAAATGTGTCTTCATCTTAACCAACATATCAATCCTTTCTAAAGTTAGTCTGAATGTGTGAAAGTTTTGAATGACAATAACTTTTTAAGTACACATACCTTGGTAATTGGTCCACAGGAATTTTGGCATCTTTTGCCTCTGGATCTGGTGCTCTAAAACAGATGAATGTGAGATGTGTATAAAACGATTCATCTTATTAATGACAACTTTTTGAACAATAGACTTTACAACATAAACAATGATTACATTGCCATCATGGTTTGAAACTTTTGTACTTATCCCTGAAATTCTTGGCAATTCATACAGTCCTATAACTTCCTCAAGAATCATCAAATGAATGACTGATTGATACAGTTAACTACATAAATGACAAACACTCACTATAAAAGCTTTCTGGATAAAGGACTCAGTAGAGTTGCTTTCACAAGGTTTCATTGTCATACCAATTATTCTTGAATGATCAAAGTCCTATAACTCAAACAAAAATTGCCAAACTAAAATGACTGTTTATATAGTATGAAAAATAGCTTAACCTAGTAAGATATCTTATAGCCTCTGGGTAAAAGTATTTTGTGGACAGACAGATGGACAGATGCATACTATAAGTGTATGTGCAGCATCCCCATCAGTAGACAGCAAAGTCATTCACCAGATGATAAAAAGAGACAGCAATTTTCCACATCTTTTTGTGCATGCTAACCTGGATAAATGTATCCTCTCTACTATCAAAATATATTATAAATTATTATAGTTATTTGGAGAGAACAAAAATATGTTTACAAAAATAGTTTGTCAACCTTTAATTACTATAACAATATATACTTTTGTAGGTTAAAAAAAAATTAAGGACCTAAAACATTTATAAAACTCTGTCTGTAACCCAGGAGAATTTGTGTACAATACACAAACAACAATAATGTCTTACAGCTCTTTCAAATTGATTTAAGTTTCAGAATAAATGACCAAGAAAGGCCGACTCATATTTACAAGTATTGATAGCTGGAGCTAATAAACAAAATGGTTCATTGCAGGCTTTTTTTAAGATAAGGGAAATGAAAAAAAATTCAAAAGTCCAGACTGAGAGTAATTGAAAAAAAGAATGTACAGATACAGACCAAAAGATAGATAAAGTAAAATGTCCAAGACCCAGAAATATCTTATATTGATAATAAAAAAGATCTTCAACGACACAACCATTACGTTCATTTCCCTTCCAAAAAATCAAATGCTTGCTTCCGTAGTGCTTTTTCAGATTTAGGTCCACTGATGATTTATAACACCATGAGTGTTAACTATTTTTAATTGCTTACCCTTTGTCAGCCAATGCATGACATATAGGACTGAGTCTGTTTTCTATAACTTCTTCACATTTAGTACATCTGGTCTTAAATAAACTGCCTAAAACAGAAAACTACATTGTATTAAAGATCAAACAAATTGATTCATCCATCCAGTAGCAAGTATTTCAAAATTCTAGTGAAAAACTTTTCACAAATATATGATTCCTCTAACTTTCTTGCATGTCCTTGAAAGATTTAGGCTATCTTACTACGGAACACTTATTTCTATGTTTTCCTGTCCTCATTGTTTCATGTGGTTTTGTTATGCCCACAAATACTCTATTCTGGCTTTGTGTAAGTAAGTAACAGGTACCAAAATTATCCATTTTCATACTGTCTTATAATTTTACAAAACATTAATGGACACACAAGCTTTAAAAAAAAAACTGGTTGTGGAAAAATTACTAAAAAGGAGCCCAAATCAGTATAAATAGTGTAGACAAGTTTCCCAAAGAGTATGATTTTGAAATTAAACCAAGGACATATTGTAATGTATGGAATAAGAATGATTACATACTGTAGTTAATTCCCCTATGCCAATATTTATTTAACATAATTGACAGTTTTTTGTTATGTGAATATTTCTGATTTGTGATTTAATTTCTGTTGTAATGTCTATATCTGATGTGTTTATAACTGGTGTGTTTTAAATATATGAGCCCATAGACATTTCCTGGTGTATTTGACCTTGAAAGCACCTTGTGGCAAGTCTGTGTACTTGCTTTGATCAATGAAGTTCATATACAGTATTTAATAAAATTACTTAAATTTAAAGAATTTATGTGTGTTTGATGTAAATCGGGCTTAGTCATATGATACACTGGACATAAATTCATATTTCTATCATTAATTAACTTGTAAACTACAGTTAATGCTTGGAATCCTGTACTCCGCAGAATAAAGTTTATATAATTTCCTCAGGGTTGTGATGATACAAAAATCATTGACGGCACAAGAAATCAAATGTATCATCAACAGAGTAAACAGAACTTTAGTTTAGCTGCTTTTAGTCATAACATTCAGAAATGGATCCAGGGTTCAAGGAAAGGGGGACGTTATTGACCACAATACAGAGTATATAATCTTTGGCAGGTGTACCAAGGCAAATTGTTTTTTATGATTTTATGCAAAATATTGATATTTATTGGTATTTCAGATAAAAAAGGACCTCCAAATTTTCCTTTGACTCTTTCTTAATTCATATACCAAAAGACTTATTTTGAGAACTATATATTAAGGACTTACCATGCAATTCTAGAATATTTTCAGACCCAGCTCTTTTGTGAAGTTCATCTATATTCTGTGTGATTACAACAACTCTCCTTCCTTGTGATTTCAGCCTCTTTTCACATTCAGCTATTGCAATATGAGCCTAAAAAATAAGTATGTATTTCATTTTCATGGCTAAGATAAAATAATTTAATCACAAATGGTTTTTTTCTAAAAGCTGGATTGCTGTATCATTAGAGTATGTCTATTTTTTTTTCATTTGACATATACTGTGTAGTAGGTATATAAAAAAAATGAAAACAAAAAGTTACAAATGTCATGCGTCCGAAGTGCTTCTCTGGATTTACCATCATCAGGAAGGCTCAAAGGTCAACTTTGTCTGAGGGAGTTGAAACCTTAGTTTCTAACAGTTTCAAAATTTATTAACGGACAATTTTAGAAAGGTTTGTTATACAAATGTACAGAATTCTCGAACAAATTTGATTTACTAAGGTTAATCACTCTATTATTAATTTTTTATTGAACTCTTAAATTCTTTTCAATAGAAAGCTAGTCTTTTTAACAAAAAAATGGAAATGTTAGAAAAGAATTCCATAATACATTAGTTAAACATTGAAAAAAGTAAAATTGGTCAAAGACTCAGATATAGCAGAGTTGCAATACTTATGATTTGTAATCTGAAAGAACATATGCATGTTTAATGACACAAGGATTTGATATACTTAAGGAAGAATCTAGTTGCATGCCAGTAAAGAAAGGTCAGATGTACTGATTTCTACAGGTAGGCAAATGAAGAAAAATAACACACTCCAAATTGAAGTAAGCTAACACATACATAATTATCATTAAAAATTGATACCCTCCGCCTAAATTTTGAGAACTCTGCTGCAAACTGACTAAGTTTCATTTCATTTATTGAGATCTTTGCAAAAATTCACCAAACAATGTGATGTGGACGATTCTAATGTTCATAAAACATTCTTCAAGTTTGAATTTTAGCTACAGGTTGAAAACTATATGAGTCAAGAATGAAAAATTTGTACCATAAATCAAAAAGTTCTTGAAAATTGACAGTTTACATGTACACCATCTGGAAATTTTTTCAAAAGACACTGTACAAAAAAACGAGTCTAACATCATTAATGTAAACAAACACTATAGAAAGAATGAGGGTCTCGACTGAATCTGTAGGCAGAGTTGATTACACAAAATTAAATTTGTAAATACCAAAGATGACACCATTATCAATGATACAATGACCAACAAGAACCATTTCACAATTAAACAGGGGCCAACCAAAAATATTGAGGGGATCTGCTGCTATTCTTATTCTTAATCAAATACCTTGTTTGGATCTTTGGTACCCATGACTTCTCTCCTATAGTGATAGAATTCCCACACCAATGATGGATCGTCTTGAAATGCCTCTGGTGTTGCTAATTGCTATAAAGGAAATAACAAATAACAATATTGACAGTAGGTGTTTAATTAATACAAATGGTGATCTTTCATTGGCTGAAAGTCAAATCACTTGATTCCATCATATGCTTTCATTTTGTATGAAAACAACATGTGCTGTACAAAAATAATACAAGATTATACAATTACTAGATCTGCTTACATAACTAATCAACATTTCTTTTTGCATTGTTTGTGTACTTTGTGCAAACGATTATTCTTTTGAAAAAAATCACAATATGGGTGAATAATTCTTATATGATTTGCATATTAGAGAATACGTTGATATGATTGGTTGAGAGGACTTCCGGTAGTTGTTCTTGACGTTGTTTATTTTTCGATAGACAATGTTGACCGAACTTCTTTTCGTAACCAATGTAATCAAGATGGCGGTGATAATGACACAATCCAGATCGACGTTAACAAAATTTATTTTCAATTTGCGTTAATAAGGCCTTAATAGTTAAATTAAATAATAAACACAAAACATTCGTTTGAATGATAATAAGAGTTTCTGTAGTTTATTTTTTATCAGATTGCAAATTTCATGGAGTACAAATTTAACCAACAAATGTATTCATGCGCCAGGCCTATTCAATGACACAAATATACAATTTACGTGTGATAGAGGTTACGAGTGTGGAAAAATAAATTCCTTATCTCCAATTTTAAAGAATTATAAGGATTAAACGCCTTTTTAAAGGAATATATTGGTGTATAAACTGTACCAAGTCACTCACAAACATATCAGGACTTTTATTTGTTTGTGAGTGAATTGGTCAAGTTAATACACCAATAAATTCCTTTAAAAAGGCGATTAATCCTATAATAATGCAGATTTTTTATTTCTAAAATCTGTAAGAGTTGAATACTGTTATTTTTAAGTGGTATGAAATAAAGGCATTTTTAGCAAGTAGCGGAGGAAGATGGAGTGCCTAGAGAGATCAACTACCTTCGTAGAAAACTGCTGTGCTAGTCAATTAAGATTGGAGTCCAGTGAAGGTTTGAATTCACAACCTCAGTGTTGACAGGCTAGTAATACAGTAGTTGGACTACTTAGACCACTAGGCCACTGAGGCCCTATCAATTTCAAGATCTCATATTATTGTATGGTTTTTACCTGTGCTTCCCATTTCCTCCAGTAACCACCAGCTCCTCTAAATGTAGGCACACCACTTTCAGCACTGACTCCGGCCCCTGTTAAGACCACAATATGTTTAGATTTGGCAAAATCTTCCCTGAACTGTGGCATACTAGAACTCGGAGCTTTCATATCCTGAAAATGTATGTTCAACATACTATAATTCTGGTTTGAATTATTTTACATTTGTCATTTTGAGGCCTTTTATAACTTACTATGGAGTATGGGTTTTGAAAGCAGTACAGTGACATATAGATGTGAACTTCTGCATCATTTGGTCTCTAATGGAGAGTTGTTTCATTGGCAATCATACCACATCTTCTTATTTTTTATGTAAAGGAGAAGGTCCGGTAAAGGCTAGTTTTTGCCTAAAATTCGAAGTACATCTGATGAGAGAGTTTTCACATTTTTTTAACACTGAAGTGTCTCTTCAGTCGATTCAATTAGTTTATGTAAAAGATTTGAACTGATTCGGTCATGAAAGACGCTCAAATTCAAGCTCGAGTATGAAAAATCTATCAAATATGCCATAAAAGATGGTTTTTGTCTGGAAGTGGCCGCATTGGTGTTCAGTCTCAACCTTTATATATGTTATGAATCATCATTAAATACAACATATATTTAAATATTAAGACTGAACACAAATGCGGCCACTTCCATTTTAGACAACAAGAGTGCACACGCTGAAATGTCTCGCCTTCTTTACTAATCATTGATATTATGTTGATAGTTCTAAATATAAAGCTTTACTACAACTATCACATAAACTTAACATGATCCATGGTCAAGGTCATATAAACCAAACAAGAAATACATATACACCTTACAATCATACAATACACTAAATATAGTTGACCTATTGCTTATAGTTTCTAAGATACAGACTTAACCAAGAAAACTAAACGTTGACTAATGAACCATGAAAATGAGGTCAAGGTCAGATGAACCATGCCAGACAGACATGTACAGCTTGCAATCCTTCCATACAACAAATATAGTTGACACTGAGCTATGAACTGTGAAAATGAGGTCAAGGTCAAATAAAAAAGACTGACACGTACATCATAAAATATTTCCATACACCAAATATAGTTGACCTATTGCATACAGTATTAGAAAAAAAGACCAAAAATTTAACATTTGACCACTGAACCATGAAACGAGGTCAAGGTCAGATGACACCTGCCAGTTGGACATGTACACCTTACAGTCCTTCCATTCACTGAATATGCTAGACCTATTGCTTCTAGTATCTGAGATATGGACTTGACCACCAAAACTTAACCTTGTTCACTGATCCATGAAATGAGGTGGAGGTCAAGTGAAAACTGTCTGATGGGCATGAGGACCTTGCAAGGTACGCACATACCAAATATAGTTATCCTATTACTCATTATAAGAGAGAAATTAACATTACAAAAAACCTTAACTTATTTGCAAGTAGTCACTGAACCATGAAAATGAGGTCATGGACAATGGATATGTGACAGACTGAAACTTCGTAACATAAGGCATCTATATACAAAGTATGAAGCATCCAGGTCTTCCACCTTCTTAAATATAAAGCTTTTAAGAAGTTAGCTAATGCTGCCGCCACCACCGCTGGATCACTATCCCTATGTCGAGCTTTCTGCGACAAAAGTCGCAGGCCGACAAAAACCTTCTTAAAATTAGCAAAAATGCTAAAATTGTGAAGATTTCAGTAATATTGCATGAACTTATGATGTTAGTACCTGATACATGTGCATTGTATTGTAAAAAAACAGCCCATAATTATGGAACATACATATTCTTCTTTCCAATAAATAGCTTTAAAGTTTACATTTCAACATATTTGTAAAAATGCAATATTTTGGGGCCGAAAAGGGGTCTTACCGGACCTACTCCTTTCGAAATCACTGCATGCATTTATTAATGAGATTTTTGAAGAACGGACAAACAAGGTGAGATCAATTATTGCGATTTCAGGAAAATCTGAAAACAGATATATGTATCAGATATCAGAATGCAAGTTCATATTATTAGGATATTCACCCAGTCACATTATTCGCATTTATAAAAACCTTACAATAATTTCTGAATTTACAGTATTCTTTGTAGTAAAACAACTTAATGGATGGTCTTGTCTCCTTTTTTTACAAAAAAGGTAGAATTAAATTGCTTCAATCACAGAATCAAAAGCTTAAAGATGTCAAATCTGACTGGAATTTGTAATTAAAGAGTCTACATCATAATTCATGGCAAGAAGTAGAGAAGAAAGCACAAGACAGAGTGTTATGGAGAGAGCTAGTGTCTGCCTTATGTGCATCAAAGCAAGAAGAGGATTAAGTAAGTAAGTACATCATAATTCATATACTTAAAACAATTTTAAACAGCTTTAGATATTTCCATAAAATAAAAATTTTATGTGGACAATTTAAGTATTTTGATATAAAACTGCAAACTTTTGTAAAATTTTGATTTGACCCACATCTCTAATCAATATAGATTGAATTGTATTCAAAAGACCACCATTATGCATATATAGCTTCTCCTACCATATAATTTAGATTTTTGTTAAGAATATCTACATTTTTTGTAACGTCAAATTTAGTAAAAAAACCAACATTATAATGTTCATGTAAACCAAATAGACTTACAGAGGGTTTATACATTACAACTCCTGACATCATATAATTCAAGTAGAACAGATATTAGAACAACTAAAAAATAGAGTTAAGTTTGCAGGCAAACTTCCTGGTTATTAAATTTTCAACAATAAAGATATTGGTTTAATCAAAAAACTGATTCAGTCATTTCTAAAAATAAACTGGGATTTAAATTTTCTGTGATAATTTAACTTAGACATGTTAGAGTTATCTCCCATTTCATTACATTTACAAAAGTCAAACTTATCATTAACCCAAACAAGTCAGCTAATATATTCCGCTGCTCTATGATGGCAACATAAACATTGCGAGTGGAAGAGTCAATCAATGGGAGGGACTCAGTTATCAGCTGGGTACAATATTCATGAAACGTTTTGGGGGATAACAACATAAGGACAATTAAGTTATAGTTTAAATTTGCCTCATCATTGCTGATAATGTGTTGTAAATGAAGTATAGTTATTTATTTTTCTTAACAAAAGAACACATTCCCTCATAGTGAAATGAACATGATGAAGAGAATAACAATAAAAAGTTTTTTTATTTTCAGCATCATATGGTTCCAATATATAATTGTTTTCCATTAAATCATTTATCATCTTTGTGAAAAGCTCTGAATGTCTATGAAACATTTATACTTCTAGATGCCTTATGGTTATCTGTATTGTTGTGTTGCTGTCTCATGACTTACACCTACATCTCCTTTTATTAATGCCAAAAAGTTGTAACTGATTAACTTCTCACATAATTTATATACAATCAATTTAAAATTTAACACAACCTCCTATGAATGGTATCTGCTGTATTCCACTTTAAAGTGGACATGAAATGAGAAATCTGTAACAGACAAAAATTCATTTATCCTATACATACATATAAAAAAGGAGATGTGGCATGATTGCCAATGAGACAACTATCCACCAAAGTTCTAATGAAGTGGATGTTAGCAATTATAGGCAACCATACAGCCATAAACACTGAGAAAAATCCATACCGTATTGTCAGCTATAAAAGGCCCCAACATGAAAAATATGAAACAATTCAATTCAACATGTAAATATAAAGGGTACTATGTAATTAAAATTTCTGTTTAGATATTTTTGATATGTTTTAAATGAGCAAAAGTAAGAAAAAACCCTTTATCTACTAAATACAATACAATTGATTGATTGTTGTTTTCTTAAAATCCAGTGGCAATTATTTCATGCATCTCATGGACGAGAAACTATTAACAATAAGTACCAAAGGTAGGCTCTTCAAGGTGGGACAACAGGAAATACTATATGCCTTCAATATTTACATAAATTAGTTTTTGCATATATTCATCTCAAAATTAAAAAAAGTGGATAAATGACCATAAATTTGGTGCATCTAAAATGTTTTTTCTGGTGTTACTTTCATCAGAAATGCTGGGACTCAAAAATTAAAGCCAATGATTTGCAAAAGTCTGAACATGTTGAGAGCTATATGACCAAAATAGACCTAAAAAGAATAGCCAAATTTATCAATGGTCAACTTTGCCCAATGGGAGTTGGAACCTTAGATTATGCTTTTCAATTTTTTATTTTCTAATTTATCAATGGTGAATTTTAGAATGATATGTTATAAACCATGCCAGTATTGAAGCACTGATTATCATTAGCTGATACATTCAGGGACTTACAGTCGACCAACGACTGTATCAACCAAGTGCTAGAAAATGAAAAGAACACCTTATAAAAATTGGTCTTTTTCTGGATAAAACTTCTTCAGGAACAATTGAAGCCCAAAAATTGAAGATAAAGTTCATGTATTTTGTATTGAAAACATAATTTGATTTAGAGGGGGGAGCAGGGTGCCTGGGTCCCCCCTTTTGTGGGAAAAATTTGGTTGATTATTTAGGGAATCACTGAAGCATGACCGGAGTGGGCCCCCTCTCTAGCAGTCAGTTGGCCCCCCTTATGAAAATTTCTAGATCCGCCACTGGTAAATGTAAGTTAGTGACAGTACTTCTATTGTGTGGAGTTCATACCAGTAAAAGGAAGAGGTTTCAATAAAGGTTATTATATTTGTCTCCTGGATTTGCAAAAGGAGTAAAATTCTTAAATCCTTTTAAAATTATTCTTGTTTTAATGATGGAACTAGATGACATAATCTGGACTTTTAAGTCCAATCTCTTTGTTTAAATGTTAAATGTATATTTGATGTTTACCCAGCTAACACAAAATATTTTCCTGGTATTATTAGACTGGTCTTATTTATGTTTTCCTAAAATATTGCCAAAAAATATTTTATAGATATTTTCTGAACGTCAAAAAATATATATGAATACTATTTTTGTAAAGATATATTTCATCAAAATGTTAAATTGTGTTTTTTTTTAATGTTTTTCTTAAATATTTTATATTTATTCTGATGATTTAAAATGTTTATAGATATAATCTTCTGTCACAACATTTATCATTTTATGTGAATGACAAAAAAATTCTTATTAATATCCAAACAATA